CCTCTGAAGATACCTAAATATAATTCTTTTGAATTCTTTATCAGAGAGTTCCAATGCTGCTTCTTCCTCAGGGATGTGTTCTGGGTCTGTATCCTGCTTCCTTGTTTCTACCACTTTGTCTTGCTTCTTTGTGTGGCCTGTGATGGTCTGTTGTATCCGAGGCATTGTGGCATTGTTGTATTTAGCTCTCTGTTAATGGTTTGTGAAGAGCAGTCAAGGGTGATTCAGGCTCTTCTTGGTGGTTTTTTATCATTGGCCCGTTGGTGGAGAAGGTGGTAGTGGCTCTCGCTTAATAAGTAAAGTTGCAGGAGGTGTGGGTGTAGTTTTGTCTTATGGGGACTGTTGTTGTCTCCTACTCAATTAGACACAAATTACAATTGAATAACCTTCAAAAAACTAAAAGCACATGGATAAAAAACACGCCATGTAATCATACAGGAACAGAAACCAAAAAAAGAAGACGAAAAAACAAGAAAACCTACAATATCTGGGGATAGGGCATTAAGAGAAAACAAAGTAGAGAATGAGAATAATGAAGGAAAAAAATGGGGAAAATACAAAAAGAAAAATAAGAAATGGGGTTAACCACGAGAAAAAAGGGGAAAAAACAAAAAAAACAACTTAAATTAGAAAAAAAAAAACTGTTTCAACCAGGAACAGGGAGAAGATAAAATGCTGAAAACTAGGACCTGGGAGGGGAAATTAAGAATAATAGTAAAAAGGACAAAAAAAATAAAATAGTTGTTTTAAATCAGACAAATACAAGCAAACTAATCACCAGAAAAGGAAAGTGAAAAAGACAAAAATAAAAATAAAAAAAGAGAGAGGAAAAAAAAAAAAGAATCAGTGGAGGACGGGGCAGGGCACTGATGGAGTTCCTGTGGGCCCAGAAGGTAGGTGGGAGTGGGGGATGGCTGCACCTCCTTTCACCAAGCGGGTGTTGTGTATAAGAGTAACAAGAGGAATGTGGTACCTTTTCAGTCTTGCAGGTCCAGAGGGTCCTTGGGGTTGCTGGAAAGCAGAACGTGTTCTTAAGCCCCAGGAATCTGCGAGAGCGCCATCTCTTTAAATATCCAAAATAGTCAAGCTGCTTTTAGACCTTCAAAATGGCAGCGTCCTCCAGACCGGCTAAAGTCCACAGCTCAGCCTGCCTTTCTCTTCACCTTCTCCTTTTATTCCCCAGCCATCAGAGCAGTCCTCCGTGTAGTCCCTAGCTAACAGGGTGATTTTTAGGTTAATTAAGTCCTACCAGCACTCGGGAATCTCCAAGCTGTCTGTGCCATCAGGATTGCTCAGGATGGCTGCCAGACCGCAGCTCCGTTATGTCTCCTTTTTTGGTATTTTCATGCAAACTCTTCTGCTAGTTGGGGTTTAGTCTACTTCTGTATCCTTCCCTTCAAGGCTCAGGGGGCCAGGATTATCTTCTGTGTCTGTGTTAATTGGTTTCCCTTTTCTTTGTTGAAGAGGGTCTGTGCAGTCTTTCTGCCTAGTCCGCCATCTTGCCGGAACGTCTCTTAATGTGTTTTAAAATAATAATAAAAAGCTGCTTCCTGTGAGCAGCAAGGAATTCTGATGTGGTCAAAGTTCTATCTTAATTACTATATAGAAATAACTATGATTGTAAAACAGAATTATAATCATTAAGCTTAGTACATTCTTCATTTTGTATTACATATAACGTGTGACATTGTAACAATATTTGCATTTTAAGATGAAACAAAATCAGAATGATTCTATGACTCAGGTGTGTTTATCTTTGAAGTTTGGCCTTACCACACTGTCCAGGGAGACCTACTTGGATCCTCGGAGAGAAAAGAAATCGTAAAAAATTTTAAAAATAAAGAAAAAATCAACTATTTTTGTAATTATGGTAAATTTTATAATAATTTTAATTATGGTAATCATTTCATCATTAAGTGTCTGTGTTTGGGGCATCCTTCCAGATGTCAGAAATACAAAATGCTATGAAATTCCCTACATTTCAGAACATAACTGAGTTGGGGATATGGGGTCCACAAATGTATGGTGAGTAAAAGTTCACAGTAGCTCTAGCCAATTGCCAAATGCTGCAAGCTTTCTCCTCTACATTTTCTCATCACATAGATTTCACTACACTCAGTTGTTAAATGTCTTCTATGATCATGGTAGACCTTTAGCAAGTACTTGTTTAATGAATTCCACTTTGTGCATTTTGTGCAGGTCGCAAGGCAGGATGTGTTGCCATGAGAACAGGGATTGCAGGGGGACTATGGGATGTTTTGAAATGTGAAGAGAAGGCAAAATTTGTGTGCAAACACTGGGCAGAAGGAGTAACTCGTCCACCAGAGCCAACCACGACTCCTGAACCTAAATGTCCAGAGAATTGGGGCTCTGCTAGTAAATCAAGCCTATGTTTCAAGGTAAGGGTCAATTGTTAAGCTAAGGAAGAATTGGAATACGCTTTAGGTTAAGGAACTACTTAAAGCATTGAAAAACAACAACAAAAACAATGTCCAAGTTAACCCTTAGAAATTCTGATTTTATTGGTTTAGAGGGGGCCTAAATATCTATGATTTTTAAAGACCTCCTTGCATGGGTGGATGTTAATAACCAGTCAATGGTGAGAACCATTGTATGTAGGTCAATTAGCATAACCAGACAAGAATTGCCAGTAACCTTTCCTCAGTGCTCTGCCTTTATCACCCCCTCTCTGTTTCTCTACTTTCTTGTAGGCTTTCTCATTCTAGTCTTCAGCTCAAACTTTTTTTTTTTTTAAATCTGGTTGAAAATTTCTGTTCCTTATCATGCTATCCTATTTCCTTTCATGTTTGCCCTGCTTTCAGAGCTGAGCCAACTTAATTAATAAACAAATATCCAATAACACAACATAGACATTTAAGAGATAATTCCATTTTTCTAATATAATCCATGATTATCAGTATGGTAGAAGATGAAAGCAATGTAGATAGGGGCACATGGCCTTTTGTTGTTGTTATGTGCCATCTAGTCGGACCGACTCATAACGACTCCTCCTTGGGTTTCCAAGGCAGTATCACTATGGAAGTAGATTACCCAACCTTCCTTCTGAGGAGCAGTCAAGAGCCTTAGGCACTATGCTACCAGAGCTCCTACATGGCCTTTCAGTGCCCTTCAAATAACAAGTCAGTACTCTATTATTATTTTATACATTGTTGGGTTGTATCATCTATTTTCTCTGTATGCAATCAAGCTCACCAAAACAACCAGACAATCAAAAATAGAAACAAAAACAGAAGAAAACAAACAAAATACTCAGTGAATTAAGCATTTGGGTCTTTTTACTCTCTTGTAAGTTATATTTTTTTCTAGGGGAAGTTAGACTTAGCAAAAGACAGAAATGTCCTCATCTGATTAAGAACTTTGTATGACAATGAGGTTGTTCCCTCATCTTTAACTCAAGAGGGATGCAGCTAGTTGTATTAGTCACTCCCAATAGTAACAATAAGATATCCATGAGCTGTTCAATCCAAAACAGTTGGTCAAGGTTAGGATAAAGCTTAATTTACATAGAATGGGATATATTGGGCCAATACAGGATAGATTTTTGTAAATGGATTATTTGAGGCTATAAAAAAGAAAATCTTTGCCACAAAGAGAAAAGAAGTCCCGATACACGCTACAATGTGAACAAACCTCAGAAATACGTTGAGTGAAACAACTCAATCAGAAAGGCACAAATATTGTATTATCCCAGTCTCGTTTACATTAAATATCTAGGATAGGCAAGTATATACAGACTAAATTTTATTAGTGGCTACAAGGGACTGGAGGAAGGAAGGGAAATAGGGGACTTCCTGCTAAGGGGACACTGAGCTTTTCTTAAGTGGAAAACTTGGATGGAAACTTGGATGGAAAACTTGGAATTGGATAGTGGTGATAGTTGAACACATGATGAACGTAATTAATGTCACTGAATTGTATATATAAAAAATGTTGAAATGGTAAAAAGAAAAAACTGATATTGTATTGTTACCTCTGGAAATGGTTGAGTTACACAAAGGTCAGGTTCATCAAATACACAGCCATTAGTACTAGAGTAGTAGGTTATGGAGATTTGTTAGAGGTTTTTGAAGAGAGTTATCCAGAGCTGAGAAGTAAAGCAAGGGTTCTAGTAACATAATATCCTGGAAGACATTAAAAAAATGAAAAGATATACTTCACAAGAAAATACATGGTTTTAATTGGGGTACTTTCAAGTTCACTTGGACATGTATAGGCCATCTCTTTAAATATCAGGGTGTGGGAATTAATAACAAAATTCAGATGATAGTAAATTTTATTTAACAAAGCAAAATCTTTTTTTTTTTTTTTTAAATTGTGATTAAACAGACCAAATTCACTTTCCATACAACAGTTCACATATACTTTGTCTCATGTCATTGACCATAACAAAGCAAAATCTTACACCCAGAGTCCAGCAAGTTGAGGTGCTCTCCAGAACCTTGGGAGATAGTAATGTGGAAACATGTGCAGTGCACCATTGTCCACATAGTTCAAGTGAGAATTGAAGTAAAGGTTGACTTGGTTTGCTTAATGACAGCTTGGCAGTCATTATCTATTGGAAGCAAATCCCCTTTTCCACAAGACTATGGTGATGGGGGTCAGAACTCATGAGAATGAATGATAAAAATTACTAAAATTGTAAATGCAAGTGACTCCTGCACTGACTTACATACAGTTTGAACACAATGATAAGTATTTCCTAGACTGTTACTGTAAATTCCATGTCATTGCTCTATTGGCAGGCCTCTGGATAACATGACACATTCCCTAAATGATATGATCTATCAATAAGAGGTTAATCTAGTGTAGTTTATAACCCAACTTTTTACATCTCTGCCAGATGAGTGACTACTGTAACATGTGCTTCAGTAATTGTTAAAATTTGTAACCCTAAGGGGAAAGAGCAGGAGAAAGGGAATTAGCGGAGAGCAGCGGGCCGGAGGAGCAGGAGAGGGGGGTGGAGCCCAGTCACTAGTGCTCGGACGGCTCCCTTTTTGCCCTCCCGAGAGGGACCAGGTCTCCGGGAGCAAGGTGGGCATGGGCGAACTGGTGCTTACTCACTGATCTGCACTGAACACTTTCCCTTGTTACCCTCCCGAGAGGGACCGGGTCTCCGG